CATTGACGCGGAGCGACTGAGGCTGAAGACGAATCCACGAGTCTTCGTTGTTTGCTGATGGTTGACTGTACTCCGAGCGATCGTCCATATCCCCCAACTCGGCGATAGTCTCTTAGAATTTGGGTGTTTTATGTGTGCTCCAACGAGCAGAGATGGTTCGCGCCCCCTTGAAACCATCCTCGTTGCTGCTAGGGGCTCCTGTCATGTCCGACGGAGCAGATCGAAGACGAGGCAAGATGATGCTGTCGGCGCCTTTGCAGATCAGCCATAAACTGCCGTCAGGGCAGCGAACGACGATGGACATTCTCTTCCGCTTGCTGCTGAACTCGATAACGTCCAAGATCTCGTAGGTGGTTTGAGAAGAGCTACCATCGACGTGGGGCATCTGTACAGTGACCGACTGCGATGAGCGTTGCGTGACGACGAATCCCAGATCTCGCGCACCCCTGACCAGAGCAAGTTCGTCCGGAGAAGATGCCTGAAAGTCCATCTCTCCATCCTCGTTCCTTTCAGGCAAACAGGTATGACACAGTGCCATCGCAAGAATATAGCGCATAGCCTTGGTGGCAAATGGAGAGTTCGGTCGTGCTCGAATGTACTCCAGCATGTCGTCGGTGGTGAGATCGGCCCCTTGGTCTCCCAACTCGTCCGAGTCTGTTGCAACGTCCATCCGATGAAGCCAGCTGGTGCCGGCGATATTGATGCGCCGTAGCTTCATGATGTTGTCGGTCAGAGTGCCTGTCTTGTCGCCGAAAACGTAGCTGATCTGGCCAAGGTCGTCCAGGTTATTGGTGTTGTTGACACCAGCGGTAGTATCCGTCTCCTTATGGTACATGTCGAGATCATTCTCGATGAGACTCATCTGGCCTAGCTTGATAGCCTCGAGACCCACGTAGAGAGAAATGGGATCACGTTATTGAACATGATAATGAAGCCAGCAAAGATGTCGAGGAACTGGATTGACGTGTTCTCGAGGTACCATGCAAACCGCTCTTGCTTGTCCTTCCAGATAACATACGCCACGGTCGCAATAGCCGAACTGAGTAGCACGTACATCATGAGGAACACCACGATCTTGTTGGTCATGCTCTCTAATGCTGGCCGCTTCGGCTTCGTTGACTTGTTGGCATTCATCCTGATCTTGCACTCCTCGCCGGTATTTATAACGATCCCAACAACGCAGGAGGTATTCCGAATCGTGCTGCCGCGGTAAATGACTTCGTTGATCGTCAAGGGACGAGTGAGATCATCGACAGTCAGCTTGCTATCGAATCGGTACAAATCCGCATTGGGATCCTCGGTAGTCAGGTGCGCTGGACATGTTGCGATGCCTTCGATGGTGCTGCAGTCCGGTAGCGTTGATGGTCGCTGTTTTGCCTTCAGGCTCGTTTCGCCGTCGAGGGCCATCGTATCCACGTAGGCAAATCCGTTTTCGCCATCCGCATGAAGGAGCACGATGTCAGCTGGGACGTCGTCATCTCTGGAGAGCATAATGACGTCCCCGACTTTGATATCTCTCCATGCCGACCGCATCCATTGCAACCCAGTCGCGTTGGAGCCGCCGTAGTACTGCGCGCCCATTGGTAGCGACCCCTTCGCACCTGACGCAGCATCTCGAAGAACCACAGCGTCACGGTTGTTCTCGGCCACGTCCTGTCGATGTCTCTTCCAGTCGTAGTAGCCTTCTTTGGCAATGATGAGGGAGAGGAAAATGAGCAAGGGAATAAGGGTAGTGAATCTGCCGGTGGTGCTGAAACCAGGGATCACCTGTAGTATTGAGATCACCAACATATAGGCGTTGGCCAAGCGTGAGAATTGGTATAACAATTGCCGTGGCAGGAAGTCGAAGACATTGTACTTTGACGTCTTGATAGCGTTGGATATGTATGGTTTTCGGCGACGCTCATCTTTCAGGAGCTGTTGGTGACTTAGCCGAATGGGGATATGACGACCATTTGCAGATGGAGGTAATGGACGCCTTTGGAAAAGCGAACTAATGGACCAGCCCTTCTTGTTCTGCAGCATTGTTGCGGTCTTCTCTATGGAGGGCTTGTAAGCTCAAGGCTAGCAGAGTCGCAAGTTTTGGACTGGGAGAATGAGACTGCCGGTTGAAGACTGTCGAATTGGAAAGATTCCGTAGATGTAGAGTAGAGATTCCTGATGATGCGCCCGTTGGGTGGACTGAATTTTCTCGAGATTATGTTCTAATGATGACGGCCAGCATAAGCATCTAGATGACAGGACCTGGGAGGCTATTTCCAATTTGATTCAAAGTCGATCTCATTATGTTCAATTACAAAAAATAATTTTACCTTCGTCTTCGTAAAACACATTGCTCAGCTATCCGGCCCGCAAGCCAGGGATACTGCGGCGTGTCGAAGAATAGTTCCGATACAGTTGCACTACGAATCCCTGTATCCTCCGCACGAACCAGCCCCTGGCCAAAGGCACTTCGAAAGAGAAAACGATAACGAGATTCTTGGCACTGTAACCACTATTGGTTGGCGTTAGACGAACTCAGCCCTGCCGATCCCTAGCGGACATTGTAATGCCCAGCTTCGCGCAGCAAAAACGCGCGTAACCCTCCGTAACGTCAAACACTGCCACAATTCGGGCGGTTTCTGTCGCTATCAGCTTGATTTACACGAGATTTGGACGGCATCGGCATTCGTTACCGCAACAACAGCACATTTGAAGATCCACCCCTGCCTCAATTTACCTCTTGGTCTGACTCGTTTTCAGCTTGTATTCTCCCTTGCTTCGCCGCTGCCTATGGTTAAGGTTTCACCCTCTCTACGTAGGCGGCGCCTAGCGGGCGATCGAAACTGAATTTGGTTCTTATCATATTGCTTTTCGAGACTTTGCTTTGAGCAGTGGAGGTCCGTAATTGATGAGACACGAGCATAGCCAGCCACGGGATAATCTCAAACATCTTCACGTCGACGACGAGTGGGACATTTGTCATGAACATGCATAGATGTACCCTATCGCCGGCGTCTCGACCGCTTCCATCTGTCTGAAGGTGGCTGCTCTCATAGACCTTTGCCAATTGCATTTCTAAAAGCCTCAGCAAACTTTACCCGCTTTATCCTCCGTTCAGAACAACAGCCTCTCTTCATCGAAACACCTCTGCACAAACGCAATGGCGCGCCTTCGACCTGGCAAGGAAGTTGTGGATGAGAAGACAAACAAGCCAAAGGACATACCTTTAAAACAGCAGCGTATGAAGGCATGGGAGTATGTCAAGTCTAGTCCACGCATCCCGCTCTCCTGCTGACATACCAGGCCCATTCTCACGCCGAAAACATCAATCAGAATCTTTCTCTTCATTGGGATTATCTTTTCTTACCATCGGAATTTTCTGGCTTGTCGTAAACGATCAGGTATGCGCCTAGATCTGCCAGAACTTGGGATTCGCATGATTCTTATCTTTGTCAAAGGTCAGAGAAATCCGACTGGATTACACGAAATGCCACGAAATCGAATCATACGACGAGCTCGAGGTGATGCCACCAGATAACGTGGAAAAAAAGTTCAAAGCATCTTCCGCGGGACAGCTGTTGGACCAGTGGAAGCGGTCGAACAAATCTTTGACTTTCGATGGCGTCACCAAGAACTATACACTTTGCACCATGGAGTTCTTCCTCCCTGAAGAGTTGCAACCACCTGTGCTGTATTACTACCGTCTTACAAATTTCCATCAGAATCACCGCGAGTATATCAACTCCCGTGACAAGAAACAGTTGATGGGCGACAGTGTCGGCATCAACGCGATCAAATCGTCTGACTGTGGGCCTCTGAAGACGCGCCAGACAGAGGACGGGTCGGAGGAGATCATCTACCCTTGTGGAATGATTGCCAATTCGTACTTCAACGACACCTTCCACGATCCTATCCGTCTGCCCTCTTCGAGCGGCTCAAACCAGACGCATACATACAATATGTCCCGAACTGGCATCGCCAAAGATATCGACAGGGCAATCTATCGATCGAGTAGCTACCAGATACCTGCAGAAGCCGGCGGAAACGATACCGTAATTGATCCTCCCCCTAGATGGGTCGAGCGATTGCCGAACGGATACCATGCTCGCAACATGTTTAACCCGGCGGAGGATGAATCTTTCATGGTTTGGATGCGAACATCGGCCGGGAACAGGTTTGCGAAGCTTGCCATGCGCAATGACGATGACGCCATGGAAAGAGGAATGTACCGCATCGAAGTAATTTCACGTAAGGCACTGGGACCGTTTCTGTGATCCAAGCAACCACTGACATTTGCTCAACCAGACTTCCCGATCCACAAAAATCACGGAACAAAATCTATCATCATCTCCACAAACTCAGCGGTCGGAAGACGCAACGAATTTGTGGGAAGAGCTTACACAGCTTTGGGCGCCTTTTCTGTATTTGCCGCCTTCCTTTTTGCACTTACATTGAGATATCGCCCAAGGAAGCTTTCGGAACACGACTATCTACATCGTAGTAACATCTTGCTTCGAAATCGGAGCGCAAGTCTTTGAGTTTGTTTGCTTCTTTGTCGATTGAAGTTCGCTTTTGGATAGATCAACTGGAGATATATATCATTACATTTAGCCTTCGTTTCGTCTCGTTCCTGGATAAATGCTTTGCACGACATCTTCCTCGTAACATCGACAGCTGGCCTACGTTAAGTATGGTAGATTGAGAGGGTTTATTTGGTCGAAACTCTCGAATCACCCCAATCGGGAATCATTGCAGCCTGTAGACACTGCGCAGAAACTCGCTTGCATGCAAGATCCTTTTGCTCTGAACCAATAACAGTCGCGGGCGAAGATCAGGGAGGGATTAACAGAAAAGGGTATCACCAGTGTTGGCTGCCGGCGATCCCTGAACGAACCTCAGCCTGATAAAGAACTTCACCCACAATTTACAGTCTCCACCGCAGCAGTTGGGTCTGGGTGTCTGCGGTAGAAGAAAATCCGAACAACGTTATCGACTTTGGATAAACGCGTCGTATCGCCATGGATATCGCTCATCACGACGTCGGACAGGCCCCGCCCGTGGTGGCCAAGGGCAAGATCTACGCGACGGAGGAGCTCTGGACCTGTCATCAAGAGGTCATCACCCGGCTGTACAAAGACGAGAACAGGGCGTTAAAGGAAGTAAGGCAGATCATGGAGACTGAGTACTTCTTCCACGCAATGTACGTCCAAGAGCCTGCAGTCGAGCCCTGGAGACACGAGATCCAGGGATATCGACCTGACTTAAACAGGAGTCGAGAACGTTGCGGACTAATAGTTTCAACCAAACACACAGGGAGAGAATGTACAAGACACGGATCAGGCGCTGGGACCTCGACAAAAAGTTCAAGGACGCTGAGATACTCGCCATGCTCAAGCTCAAGCGGGACCGCAACGCCGTCGGCAAAGACACGCGCTTCGCCATCGCAACCAGGACGTCGACTGGGGCCGCGTGGTCCACTACCTCAAGCGCAGGCCCGAACTGCAAGACACACTGCGCCTGTCAGCCGCCGCTAGTTGCGATAAGTCTGTCGTCCAATGGGATAGTGTCGTCCAATATCTCAGTCAGAGACCGGACCTGCGGGAGGACCTAGAGGCCGTCGCTCGTCTCGACGTCGTCTGCAGGACGCCCTCGCCCGTCCCGGAGCCGCTTGACCCGGAGCCTGGCCTCCGCTTCGCAGACGAGATCCTGCGCATTCTGGAAGGCTTCTTCGACGGCGTCTTCAAGGACGGCCTGTGGGCTGTCGTTGACGGGGCCCTTTGCACCCGCGGCCGGCGCGCCAGCCGCAAGCGCCTCGACAGGTGGTGCCGCATTATGAGCGGCGTCTACAACCTCCTGGATCGCGGTGAGACTGAGGCCGCGACCGCGATCCTCAAGAACGAGTATAGCTTTATCAAGTGGATTGTCCAGACGTCGAACCCGGAGCTGTCGTATTTCTTGCGCTACAACGTGCTCCAGCAGCCTCCGCACGTATCCGACGTCCTCGTCCCATATGCCTGCGGTATGTACGCCGCGGTGCTCGGGGAGCGACACCCCCTCACGCTGATATGGCGGCGCATCAGAGCGGCCGGTACAGCAGATCGTGTCGGTATCCTGAGCTCCATAGTCCAGTACACCTCGCGCTACTGGGAGACGAGGCTGGGCGCGCTTAACGTCACGATGAACTGGATCCACGGGCTGCAGGGTCAGCTGCTTGAGTTGCTCGGGGAGGCAGGAGGTAACGACTTCCAGCGCATAGTATCGATGTACACGCGGGCCGCCGCGGAGTATGCGGACGTGGGACGCCTCAAGGATGAGTGTAAATGCCTCTTGGCGCTGGTCGGGCTCCACAGCACGGCGAAGAGGTACGATCTGGCCATGCAGACGCTGGGGCGGGCTTACGAGGTCGTCGAGGTGCGGCGCAGCCACCCGGCCGCCGAGCAGCTCATGCAGATGTGGACGTACGGCAAGATGGGCCAGCTGAGCTACAGCGTGATGAGTGCCTGCAGGTATAAGAAAGATTACGCGCGGGAGCACACATACGCCATGAAGAGGTACGGGGAGAATAGTAAAGAAGCGTTGTCGCACATGCTGGAGGATTTCGGTGCGCTGCCTTGTCGGCTATGACGAGCTTATAATTGCGATCGGAGGAAACAAGTGTTATGATATTTATGAGACCACGACGGATAAGAGACAGACTGCGTAATCCAGTCCAACAATACCCCCCGCCCCTTAAAGAACTGGATCGTATCTTTTCCGAATTCTTTCGCCAAAAAGATAAAGCCCAACCGGTACGGGAACAAGAAGTAAGCAAACCAATGCCAAAAGGCTGTTTCCCCATCCCAAGCCAAGTACATCGTACATCTTCAGCCCCCCGAGGGGCATCAATGCTCCTATCAGAGATCGCAACAATATGACTGCAGCAGAACCCGATGCCGCGTATCTTGGGTACGAGTCCATTTGATAGCTTTGAAGAGACATCTGAATAGCCGTTAGCTTTAAAGTAGGGTTTCTCAGTTAGGGGGTAGATTTTACCGTTGCTCCTGTCAACCCAAGCGCAAACATCATCGCGCCAATCATGGGGGCAATCCAATGAACTCTGTATTGGCTTGCCCATCCGTAGAGTAGCAGCCCGGCGGGCATCAACAACCCTGCTGGAAGAGTGATCCAAGGTGTCAGCTTGACCTCCAACTTGTATTTTCCATCGTCATCAGAAGTCCTCTTCGCTCGCAGCACCAGATAATCTTGTATGTGTCCCAAGCTCAACACACCGATCATCATGCCCAGATCCGCAGGAAGAAAAGACAGTCCGGTGTCTCCCTCGTCAAAGCCGTACTGTGAAGAGTAGACGAACGAAAACGTGGTTACAAGGAGATAGAATATTCCGTAAACAATGCCAACGTAGACCGCAATTGTCGAGATCAGAGGTGTCCGGAACAGGAATTTGAGTGGTCGAATGAGGGCCATCTTGATTCGCGAAGGCCCTTCTGTGTCGAGTTTGCTCCGGAGAGTGTAGTTGCCTGTTACTTTTCGCATTGCCTTTGCTTTCCGTTCTAGCAGAACAGGTGCGTATGTCTCCCTCATCACCAAGAGTGCGAGGACGCCAAAAGCCCCTCCCTGTCTTCGTCAACGATGGTCATATCAATGTAGAAGTAGCACTCACCAAGATGGCCAATAGCCAGTAGACCCACCGCCAACCGGCTGCCTCGATAAGGTATCCTCCTGCGATCGGTCCAAGGGCAGGGCCTAACATAGGCCCTATTGCCCACAAGGAGATTGCCCTGCCTCGCTTCTCGGGTTTCATCACGTCGACGACGCTTCCTACTCCGACGGTCGTAGGGACTGATCCAGAAACACCCATCAGAAGTCGGAAGGCCATCAGCATGTCCAAGTTCACACTCAACGCCGCACCAATGCTGAATGCGGTGAATGCAATGTTTCCCGCATGGTAAACATACATCCGCCCGTGCATCTCGCTGAGGGGAGCGATGACAAGCGGACCAAAGGCAAATCCGAGGAAGTAGATCGAGACCACGAATGTCGATGCCATAGGAGAGCTACTGCCGAATTCCATCATCAACTTCGGGACACCAGGCGCAAACATTGATGAACCCTGTCTCCAATAAGCAGTGAACAACACGGCGGAGTCTTATGACTTACCAGAGGTCTGTAATTCGTTAGCGCTTGTCAATACTCAGGTGATAGACGTTACTCACGATATGATTGACAAAATTGACATCACCGTTAGGTTTACCCATTTACGCGACTCTGGCCAATTCATGGGATTATCAGGGTCGTCGGGCCCATTCCAGTCGACAATTCTCTGGTCTTCAAGAGCATCTTCATCAGCGAGTATCCGGTTTGCATCTTGTCCATTGCATTCGGTTTGCTGAGCAGAGAGACGAGTAGCGGGGACTGTCGGTGAGAGACAAGAAGTCCCTTTTTCGGTATCTGAGCTTCCCGCCATTTGGTTTTGTCGATGTCAAATGGTACCTTCTTGGACTTAACGCGACCACTTGGTTTAACCACAGGTCATTCTTTATTCCATGGTCCCTTTCTTCTATCTTGTCGCGTTATCCTACATGTCTCGCTTCTGGGGATTGCAACCTAGCTAACGATCTATGGATCTCATCTCGGATTTCACACTCTTTTCGTACGTGAAACTCCGTACCATCTACGGAAAGGCATTCGTCAGCCGGCCCCGTCCATCGTCACCTGCTGAAACTTGATGGGGCTCACACAGGACGTATCTTCTAACAGAGCCTGGGTTTACTTCTAGATTGTCAAAGTCTATCACACGGCGCAGCTTCAATACAACCATTGATGACTTACAACGTGACACACCATCGTTCGTGTTCTCGTCTAAAACCATCAGCACGGGAACGATAACGACAACGACGACGAGATGCCCCGTAGATCTGCGAGCTAGCCTCTCTGCAATTGCGGGAAGGGGCTTGGCTCCAAGCTTCGCTTCTAGGCTTGGCTGTGCAGGGCGAAGGCCATCTAGCCTCCGGATGATACGCCCTACGATTTCTGCGGAGTTGTATTTGACCGCCACAGCGCACGCCTGAGGTCCTGAAACCTTGTCCCGAGAGCATGCCGTACCAATTCCCCCGCCCAATCCCCGTAGAGATCTACAATTTGGCTTCAGATTGGCCGCGCATTACGACGCAGTCTGATCCCAACGAAACCATCTGTGGGCGCTGTCAATTGGAAATGGTCCACAATCTCAAAATTACCCCCGGATTTCTAACGCTGGAACAACGGGATTCGTTCCCCCTTGACAGCGCCCAATCCCGTCGCTCATTGGTTCATCCGAATGAAGCAAGTTGGCTCCCTAAAAGGCTGCGTCTGATCTCTCGGGCTGATCTCAGTGCCGGGTATCTCGTTTTCGTCTCGCATCCTTTTCCCGTTTTCGCATCTCCCAATGATTCGTCAATGCTGCAATCGCCGTTCCAGCGCTGTCAGGGGTGCCCCCGGACGTTGCCATTCCGGAGCCCACCAATCCGGGCAGTGATGATTAGGCGCACTGGCGGTCGCATAGATTCGGCTTCCAATACTCGTATTTCTCGGGTTACAAGGGTTGATCGTCTCTTGGAGACGGAGAGCATTCCAAACATGCATTTTCGGGCACATTTGCGATGTTGAAGACATGCTTTAAATTTCCTTTCCTATCGCTGGATGGGCGCAAATTTGGGTCAGAAAAGAGTAACGACGCATCACACTCTTTTCCCACGCAGAGAAGAAGGCAGAATGTTCTTTCAGATCGACATTTGGACAGGCCTTTTGGCCTTCTTTGGCTTGGTGAGTCCGCCGCCTTGATATCTGAAACGGCCACATCTAACGACATTTGCCAAGATCGCGGTCTATCTCGCATTCTCAGTATTTTACAACCTCTATCTTCATCCACTGCGAAACTTTCCGGGGCCTTTCCTTCTCCGAGCCACACGACTAGGCTTCGGCTACAAACTCAACAAAGGCACGCTCCCATTTGACATCTTGGAGCTGCATAAGAAATACGGCGACATTGTCCGAGTGGCGCCTAACGAACTTGCCTTCAATAATGTCAGCGCCTGGAAGGATATCATGGGCCACCGATCGTCCGGTGCGCCGGAATTTGAGAAGTATCAAATGTTCTACCGCCCTGTCACGACGATCCCTTCTACCATTGTCAGCTCCGGCGGAAAAGAGCACGCATTGCTGAGGAGGTCAATGTCGCATGGCTTCAGCGAGCGCAGCCTCCGGGATCAACAGCCCCTCATCATGCAGTATGTGAACCTTTTTATCCAGCGTCTTCACGAGAACTGCGTCAAAGACGAACCAATCGACATGATGGCCTGGTACAACTTCACCACATTCGACATCATCGGTGATCTTGCGTTCGGTGAGCCGTTCGGTTGTCTGGAGAGGTCAGACTATCATCCCTGGATTCGCACCATCTTCATCTCTGCTCGGCTTGGGACAGTCGTCCAAACTGCCAATCACTACCCCTGGCTGAAGAAGCTGATGCTCAACCTCTTGTCAACCAAGTCCGCAAGGGCGAGTCGTGGCAAGAATCTCAACAACGCTAAGGAGAAGGTCCAGCGTCGCATGGACCTGGGCGGCAAGGGGGGCAGACCAGATCTCATTGAAGGATTGCTGAAGAAGAAGGATGAACTTGTAAGCCTTAACCCGTCTTCTTCTGTTGTATCCGTCGTGCATCAACCGCGTTGTCTCCTTTGGCTTACTCGTATACTCTAGGGTCTTTCTTTTGACCAGCTTGCTGCAAACAGCAACACACTTGTTATTGGAGGATCAGAAACAACAGCGACTCTGCTCTCCGGCGTGACTTATTATCTACTAACAAACCAACACACCCTTAGAAAGCTGGTCGCTGAGGTTCGCTCGAACTTCGAAAAGGAAGATGACATCACCATCATCTCCGTCAACAAGTTGAGCTACATGCTAGCTTGTCTGGACGAGGCTCTCCGTATCTACCCTCCTGTGTCGATGGGTCTACCGCGAGTGACTCCCAAAGAGGGCGCTACAGTCTGCGGTCGCTTTATACCTGGAAATGTGAGCTGTCCGAAGATTACATCCGAAAACTGAAGCTGCAATGCTGACTGCCATGACTTCGACGCAGATGACTGTCGCCATTCATCAATGGGCGATACATCACAACAAAGCCTACTTCAAGGATCCGTTTAGTTTCCGCCCGGAGAGATTTCTCGGCGACCCAGAGTTTGCTTCCGATAACCGAGACGCATTCCAGCCCTTCCACATCGGAGCCCGTAATTGCCTGGGACGAAAGTGAGATCACCCCTGCCATCACCGCGATTCGTATTGTTTGAGAGTTGAATTCAACAGCTGACATGAGCAGTCTGGCGTATGTCGAGATGCGCCTCATTCTAGCTCGCCTGGTTTGGAGATTTGACCTTGAGCTTGCGGAAGAGAGTCGGGATTGGGTGGGACAACAGAAGGTCTTCATTCTGTGGGACAAGGGGCCTCTCAAAGTTCACCTCAAGCCTGTTGCTAGAGCTTGAAACCATCTGAGAATGTTTTCGTACTAGACCTGCTTTACTTTAGAACGTCCATTTTATCCATGCATAAACTTGACTGGCTGCTGCGGACAATGGAACATTTAGTGAACGGCGATTGGGCCCCCGCACTCGTCTCCAGTCAGCCTAGAATCAACTCGGCTATGCACGTGAAGCTGAACGGTGACCCGATCGGACCACGCTAGTGCGGTTACTGTACAGTAACATTTCGGCTAAGTCCAATCGGAAGGCTGATAAGGTCCTCTTAACATTATCAATCGTAACACAGTCGGCGGCGAGTCAATAGGCCTGCCAAACGTCTTGACAAGCAAACACCACCAAAATGACGTCATGTTCTACGCGGAGATGGTCAGGGGGGATTCTGTAATCAGCACTACGTTGGGCCATGACGAATATTATTGACGAAGCTCCTTCGCGTATAATGGTCCCAACACACTGCAGTGACATAAGCATCAGCGTGTTGCTGGATAGGGTCATCCCCGCCACCTTGCTGCAGGTACTGTACAGTAACCGCATGGCAAACACCATTTGGCCGTATCAGAAGAACTTTCTCCGCACGAAGCCGCCGTTACTGTACAGTTTGCAGATCACAAAAGCGGAGACAGTGACATTTCGACGAGTTTTGCACAAGTCGCTGTACAAGAAACCTCACTCAAAAAGACAACTCGTCCAACTGGACAGGCCATTTGAAAGCCAAAATTCTCCTCAGATTCATCTCGGAAACCACTGCAAAGACTGATAGAACATAGGTTGTTGCCTGCGTGTCTATCTCTATCGAAAGCTTCACAAGCCCTAAGCGCTCATCCCCTCCTGCAAATCGACACTATGTCCATCCCGCGCGACCAGCTCAAGTTCCGGGCTCCCCCCTCCATGCAACTCAGCGATGGTTCCGCCACCTCCAAGACCGCACCCCCGCAACCCACCTCCAATCTCACACCAGCCGAGCGGGCCACGGCCCGCTTCGCAGTCACCGGCAACGCCCTCATCACCGGCGGGGCCGGCGACATCGGCTCCGTCGCCTGCAGAGCTCTGCTGGAGCACGGCCTCCAGGGTCTCGCCATCTTTGACCTTCACCCTGATGCAGGACAGGCAACTGTCAACGACCTTAAATCCGAGTTTCCCGATGCCAAAATCACGTTCGCAAAGGTCGACGTGACGGATGCTGAAGCAGTGTCGCAGGCTGTTGCACAGGCCGAACGTGACATCGGTCCGATTAACCTGTGCTTTTGCTTCGCGGGCATTGCCTTTGCCATACATGCGCTGGATATCACACCGGAACAGTGGCGGAGCATGCTTGAGGTGAACACTACTGGCGCCTTTCTTGTCGCTCAGGCTGTGGCAAAGTCGATGGTCAGCCGGGGGAATGGCGGGAGCATCGTTCTCATGGCGAGTATTTCGGCGCACATTGTGAACTTTCCGCAGCCGCAGGTTCACTACAATGCTGCGAAGGCAGCCATTTTATCCATCAAAAAGTCACTTGCGGCAGAATGGGCGAGGTACGGCATTATGGTCAACAGTATCAGCCCCGGATATATGGATACCATCCTGAATGAGGGCGAGGGCCTGGAAGAGCATCGGCAGACTTGGAAGCAGAGAAACCCTTACGGTAGAATGGGCAAGCCGGAGGAGCTGACTGGAGCTGTGATTTTGTTGGCTAGCAAGGCCGGAAGTTACATCACTGGGGCGGACATTCTTGTCGATG